GTCTGGTGGTTAACATGGCTTCTAACTTCTCAAATGTCTCCTGGCACTGTTCTGTCCACTGAAAGTTTGTGTTCTTCTTTAGCAAATCCGTCAGCGGCGCCACCATGCTAAAGCTTGGTACAAAATTCCGGTAGAATCTGCTCAGTCCCAAAAATCGAAGCACCTTTCCCTTCGAGGATGGTCTTGGAAATTCCTCAATGGCCTTCATCCTCACCCCTTCATGTCCGATATTGTGTCCCAAAAACATGACCTCTGCCTTCGCAAATTCAGCTTTTGCTAAATTTATGACCGGTTTTGCCTTCCATAGTCTTTCAAAGAGCTCGGCCAAATGCATCATGTGATCTTTCCATGAATAGCTAAAGATCACTATGTCATCTATACAGACAGCATAATTAGTCAATCCTGCCTCAACTCGGTTCATAAGTCTTTGAAATCTGGCTGGTACGTTCTTTATTCCAAAGGGCAATATTTTAAATTGATATAGCCCTTTTGGGGTTACAAACAAATGACTGGAGAATGGGTGTAAGATGAAGGACATCAGGTTTTTGAGGTATTCGGATCTATTCTGGGGGAGATGAGACTTGAACAAGATGGATATACTACATCTTAGCAGGACTGACACCAATATCACCACAGGGAAATTTGCTACTGCTGTTGTAGTGTGTTTAAACTGCATTATCAGGGGTCAGGAACTCATACAGGAGGAAAGCAAAACTGGTAACTGAAGGTAGAATAGTACTGAGGAAAATTAGAAGACAACCAGCCAAAGGCAAGCATCAAATAGGATCAGAACGCAGAATAATGTTTCAAAATACAGAATTAAAGCCTCTGCAGCTGAACATACGCAGTATTCACAACAATATTGATAGCTGAAGGCACACATTGGGATAAATGGGAATGATTTAATTCAGATTACACAGAGATACAGTACCAGGGCAATCAAGATTGGGATATGACTATCCAAGAATAGCTGTCATTTAAGGAGTATAGAGGTAAAAATGAAAAAAAAAAGAGTTGGGGTAGCGCTCCTAATCAGGGATGAGAGCTGTATATTAGTGACTGGGGATCTGAGATCAAAGAATCAAGATGTTGAATCAGTTTGGGTGGTGCCAAGAACTGTAAACATTGGAGGAAATGGTTTCTAGACAATCAAACAGTTGTGGTAATGTTGGGCATGGTATAAATCAGGAAATTAGAGATTCATGCAACATGGATAATAGAGTAATAAAAGTCAGCTTGAATTTACAGGTTAATAGGGTTAACAACTGGGTTAACCAAATCAGCAGAAATTCAATGGAAGATAAATTCCTGGACGATGTAGGAGATGGATTCCTGGACTAATACAATGAAGAACCAACTAGGGATCAGCTTACTATAAATTTAGTATTAAGTAAATAGAAAGGGCTACATAATAACTTGTTGCAAAGGAACTTTTGGGGAATAGTTCATTCTGAAGCTCGGATCTTAAACCTTAACAAGGGAAACCGTGAAGACACAAGAGGCAGTTTGGTTATGGTGTCCTGGAAAAGTACATTAAAAAATTGATGGGAAACAACAATAGCTACTATTAAAACAGGTATTACATTATTTACAAAAAATAGACAAATATGAATCAACAATGGATAACAAAAGTTGAAAATTACGTTAGGTTAAAGGGGGTGGCATAAAAACCTGAAGACTGGAAGCAAATCTATCTAGCAAAGGATGACCAAGAAACTAATACAGAAAAGAGAATACGAATGCAAGATCGTGAAAAATATTAGGCAGAGTATAAAATATTCTTTCTCAGCACGAAAAAAGGAAAAGATCAGTAAGGACAAATGCAGGCCTTTTACAGGTGCAGACGAGAACATTTATAGAGGAGTACAGGGAAATGGCACAGAAGTAAAAGAACTACGCTGTAGTAGAGGAAGGTTTAGAAAATCTCCCACACAACAGGCAACCAAGAAACGTGTGAAAATTATGCTCTAAAATAAATCATTATTAGTATCGAAGGAGTGCTTAAAAGGTTAAATGGATCGAAGGTTGATAAATCCCCAGGACCATTTCAGCTGCGTGCCAGTAAACCCATGAGCTTCATGTATGCAGTTTGGAAAAGTTGGATTTTTTTTAAACTTATTCAGAGGATGTGGACATTGCTAGCTGATTCAACATTTGTCTATCCCTGGTTGCCCTCAAGATGGTGGCAATGAGTTTCCTTCTTAAAGTACTGCAGTCCATTTCGTGTACATACACCCACAAAGCTCTGATCAACAGAATTCCAGAACTGTGATCCAGTTACACCAAAAGAACAGCGAAATATTTCTAAGTCAGCATAGTGAGTTGTTTGGAGGGGAAGTTGAAGGCAGAGGTTTTCCAATGTATCCGTTACCCCTGTCCATTTAAATGGTAATGGCTGCAGGTTTGAAAGTGAGAGATGTAGGAAGCATTGGTGAATGCCTGCAGTGCATCTTGTAGGTGGTACTGAGCATCAGTCATAAAGGAAGTGCTTGATGATGTGCTGCCAATCTGACAATCTGCATTAGCCTGGATGGCGTCAAGCTTCTTAAGTGTTTTTGAAGTTCCACTCATCCAGAAAAGTGGGGAGTATTCCATCACACTCCTGACTTGTGCCTTGTAGACAGTGGACAGGTTTTGGGATGTTGGAAGGTGAGATACCTATGGCAGGATTCCTAGCCTCTGACCTGCTCTTGTAGCTATTGTATTTATAAGGCTATTCCTGTTCAACTTCTGATCAATGGCAACCTCCAGAGAATGACAGTGGCGGTTTCAATGATGCTTTTGAATACCAAGAGGTGATAGTTAGAATCTCGTGTTACAGATGCTCACTGCCTGGCATTTGTATAGTGCAAATGTTACTTGCCAATTATCAACCCAAGTCTGGACATCACCCTGCTGCATTCAGTCTTGCTGTATTTAGGCAAGGACTGCTTCAGCATTTGAGGAGTGACAAATGGTACTGGAGGGACAACTCTCTCCGTGACTCCCTTGTCCGCTCCACACTCCCCTCCAGCTCCACCACACCCGGCACTTTTCCCTGCAACCGCAGGAAGTGCTACACCTGTCCCCATACCTCCTCCCTCACCCCCATCCCAGGCCCCAAGAAGACTTTCCACATCAAGCAGATGTTCACCTGCACATCTGCCAATGTGGTATACTGCATCCGCTGTACCCGGTGTGGCTTCCTCTACATCGGGGAAACCAAGCGGAGAGTCGGGGACCGCTTTGCAGAACACCTACGCTCGGTTCGCAACAAACAACTGCACCTCCCAGTCGCGAACCATTTCAACTCCCCCTCCCATTCCTCAGACGACATGTCCATCCTGGGCCTCCTGCAGTGCCACAACGATGCCACCCGAAGGTTGCAGGAACAGCAACTCATATTCCGCTTGGGAACCCTGCAGCCCAATGGTATCAATGTGGATTTCACAAGTTTCAAAATCTCCCCTCCCCCCACCGCATCCCAAAACCAGTCCAACTCGTCCCTGCCTCCCTAACCTGTTCTTCCTCCCACCTATCCCCTCCTCCCACCTCAAGCCGCACCTCCATCTCCTACCGACCAACCTCATCCCGCCCCCTTGACCTGTCCGTCCTCCCTGGACTGACCTATCCCCTTCCTAACTCCCTACCTACACTCACCTTTCCTGGCCCCATCCCCGCCTCTTCGACCTGTTTGTTTCCTCTCCACCTATCCTCTCCTCTATCCCTCTTCTATCCACCTCCCACTCTCTCCCTATTTATTTCAAAACCCCCTTCCCCTCCCCCTTTTCTGATGAAGGGTCTAGGCCCGAAACGTCAGCCTCTCTGCTCCTATGATGCTGCTTGGCCTGCTGTGTTCATCCAGCCCTGCACCTTGTCGTCTCGGATTCTCCAGCATCTGCAGTTCCTACTATCTCCGGTACTGAACACTGACCAGTCATTAATGAACATACCTACTTAATACCTTATGATGTTCAGGAGTGTAAAGAATGTTTCGATTATAGAGCCTTTTATAAAGGATGTGATAGTTGGACAGTTAGAAAATAATGATAAAATTAGGCAGAGTCAACATGATTTATGAAAGTGAAATAATCTTTGACAAACTTGCTGAAGTTTTTTGAGAAAGTTTCAGGCAGAAATCAATAGATTTCTGGAGACAAATAATATCAAGGGATATCTGGAGACAAATAATATCAAGGGATATGTAAATAATGTAGGAAAATAAGACTGAGGTAGGCAGTCATACTAAATTGGCCGAATGGTCCACTCCTGTTCCTATGTACAGTTTACACCCTACAAACAAGCTAGACTCTTAGAAGGGAAAATTCTAATTGACAGAAAACATGCAAAGTAATATCAAACAAGGACAACAGGAGAGACAATCTGTCAAACATAAATAACGAAACAAAGTAGATCACAGCACGAACTTTGCTTTATTCATAACACAGCAAATTTCAAGTGCCTGGCAAAGTTTAAATTTCTGAAGATGTTCTAAATGTTTACTCGATATCTGTTACTTCTTAGTCTAAACAGAACCTGGTAAAATCACAACTGTCTTGCTGTAAGAAAGCTGACTAAATAAGTGGATGAGAGAAAACATATCAATTTTCTTCAAATGTGAGAGTATGTAAAACTAAAAGGTACTGAATATGTAGTTTAAAATGAAATACTCAAAACATCACTTATGTAACAGGTTCTAGTCACATCAATCATTCAAATACATCAACTGTAAACATTGATATAGGTGCCACAGTAAATAAATGATACAGCTTTGCGTTTTGGATTCATTTTCACCTGTAAAATAGATGTAGAACTAGCTTACTGAACAATACCTCTTAGCTTGAACTGATGTACAGCACCATTATCTAACAATGAAAATATCTTATGCAGTACTATTACTTTTCCTCAACAAAAACTCTGAATACTTCACTTGTTGGGAAGCATGAATGTTTGGGTAAATGGAGACTTATAAACTCAAATTACTGCTACAAGAATAAATGAAACTAATCAGCAGTACTCACCGAAACTTTGCTTCCAGTTATCTGAATGCAGTGGTTAGTGCAGTGTAAATTAATAGTAGTTGGAGAGACAAAACAAAAAATCAAAACAGCATTATTAGTGAGCTCAGCTTTACACTGGTTAATCATAATGTAGTTTAGTCACAGTATTAGTAATACATTTATAGCTTTGAGCAGTGTAGATTATCATACAAAACTAAACAATTATTTTTACACAACATTTGATATAGCATTTCAGCAGGTTTCACAGTAAGATGGTACCAATTTTCAAAAATACACAGGTCAATTAGGAAGCGTTTAAATTAACTTCCTCCAAAACAAAATCAATTGCATAGAATGAAAATATCAAAAGTGCATGTGTTGTATGTAACAGCTTTCATATGCCATGTCACTCATCCTGCTTCTTTCACTTAAATGGAATTCTGGATGCAAAAATATCCTTTTCCATGAGAATTGGCAGAAGCTTTGTATTAAATAATTAGAACATTATATACTCTACAATTTACAAATCTTGCACTATTTAGTGTCTATTAGCTCCAAAGCTAAGTACTGTACCTCTAAACTAGCACACACCATTTATACCAGCATAAAAGATGGATGAGCCAAACGATAGTAAATGTGAAGCATCTCCCAAACAGGAATCATTTTCAATTTCTCTGTCCTGATACTTAAAAATTGTAAAATTTTTGCTTTGCTGTTGCTAATTATACACATAATTTCTTGTATGATTGTTGTTCAACTATAGCTGCTGGCACTGCAGTATTTTGTGTGAATTACATTATTGTAGATTTATCTTCCAAACAAGGTCAACTTCATTTGCTTCTTTTTTGACGCTTTTCATTCTCAGTGTGGCTCTGCGGATAGACGCTGGCTGTAACTATTTTTTTTATTAGTTTCAAAGATACTTCATAAAAATTTTAGGTGTGTTGGCAAGTCAAAAAAAGCTTGACTTGGGTGTAAGTGTACTTGCTGCCCGAAAATGTCTAGCAAAGCTTATCTAATATCCAATAACATTAACATCTCAAAACACAAAGCCATGTTTTATCAGCTGTAATGTATTAGTTTTCAAAGAAGTCAAACTTGCAATATTTATCCCAAAGAAATAAATAGAGGTACAACTCCCTCAAATGGAGAGAGATTCCACGTGCTGCCTCTGTTTTAAAAATTCCAATTAGCCAGGGTAACAATACATTTGCACAATCAAATGGGGTCAGAAGAGGGAAATCTGCAAGAAGGACAGAACTAATGGTTCTTTATTGGAATACACAAGCAGTATACATACAAGGTAGATGAAATGATGTCCCAAATAGAAATCAATGGGTATAAGATAACTACTGGAGATGTAGTTACAGCTTGACCAAGGCTGAGAACTGAACATTCAAGGGTATTTAACATTCTGCAAAGATAGTAGAAGGGGAAATGAGGTGGGCAGCTGTTATAAAACTAAAAGGACAATGGTAAGGAATGGTCTTGGCTCAAGAAGATCAAAATGTGGAAGTAATTTCAATGAAGCAGGTCCATGGCTGAGAAATCTACAGCAAGTTATTCACCTCATGTCTTCCAAATGCCTACCAACATCTCCAAACCACAAGTCAGGACTCGGGTGTCCCTACATTCCAAGAACTCCAGCCATTCAAAACAGTTCACCACCATTTTCCCAATGGTATTGGGGGTGCACAATAAATGCTGGATGCGCCACTGATGCCCATATCCCACGAGCTAAATAAAAAATAAGAAATGGTGAAGGGTGATAAGTCACTGATGGGTGCAAGTTACGAGCCTCCTTTTGTTTTAAATCATTCAGTAGTAGGTTCTAAATGTATTAAACATTAAGAGCAGTAACACAGTTGGATCCTGACAGTAGTTACACTGTAGGACAGAACTTTAATCAATTGATAATTGGATGCCGAGAAAAAAAGAGAGACTGAGATGACCATGGATGATTTTAATCCTTATATGGATTGGACAAACTAAACTGCCAAAGGTAACTCAAAAATGAGTTCATAGAGTGTATTCAACACAGTTTCTTAGAACAATATGCTCTGAAACTAACCATGGAACAGGCTACTTTAGACCTGATAATATGATAAGATTAATCACGCCATAATAATGATTCCTTTAACAAGTGTGTTCATAAATAAATGGAGCATCAGATTCAATTTGAGACTGAGAAACCTGAGTTTGAAACTTTGATCTTAACTGTCATGTTGTGAAAGCAGAATTGAGGTAAAGGAAGGAACTTCAAAAATCAGCATCAGTGGAGACAAAGTATTTGGCAAAAAAATGGGATTAAAGGAGGACCTGCAGCCTAGGGTCTTAAAGGAAGCAGCTACAAAGATGGTGATGCAACTGCTCTGTCTTTCAAATCCTCCTAGATTCTGGAAAGCTTCCAGTGGATTAACAAACCACAAATGCAATGTCTCTATTTTAGGAAAGAAAGGGGGAATAGAAACCAGCAAACTATAGTCTAGTTAGCTTAATAACATTGGGAAATAGTGGAATCTATTAAGAAAGCAGCAGCAGGATATTTAGAAAAAAAAGTGATAAAATGTTGCTTACGATCTTACATTGATGATGTGAATGTAGGCACTGAGTATAAGCAGTCAAATCCTCTGACAATACAAAAGATAGGTAGGAAAGCAACTTACAACAAGGACACGAAGAGTCTAATAACAAATATAGATAGAGAGCAGGCAAGAACTGAGCAAAATGTGAGATTTTGCACTTTGGTAGAAAAGCAGAATATTATTTAAAATGTAAAGATTACAGAATCCTGTGATACAGAATGATCTGGTTGACCTCATACACAAATCGTAAAATGGTTGATATGGAGCAAGCAATTATGAAGACAAATTAAATACTGGGCTTCATTGCAAGGGGCATGGAATATAAAAAGAGCAAAGTCTAGATACAACGACGTAGAGACCAAGAGTATTGCATAGGGCTTTGGTCTTCCAGGACAGAAGATATACATTTGTTGGAGACAGTTCAATGTGTTGGGGATCAGGCAATCACATGATCCAGGGTGGAGAACACAACATAGATGCATGTGACTCTGCCAATTTGAAAAATTGGGTGATGTGACCAGATTCTGCTAGAGGCAGGTGAAGTTACAGAACACTTGAGTAAAAATGAACAAGGCGGCTGGATTTAAGAGCAGACTTAAGGAAAAATAAAATTACTGTTACTGCTTCAGTGTAAATGAACTGATTGTCCAAAGTCAACCACACAGTGCACTGAGGGTTATGAGGCTTCAAACAAAATGGTTTCTGGTGAAACCATGTCATCAAGACTGATGGGTGCAAAGCCAAGGATATTTTGAGGAATCTCCTCAGAGATTTTGGTGAAGACCAGATTCACAGAACTCGGGTTGGTCCGAAGTGTAACTATTGATCCTCATCCACTTCAGTTAAAGCTGATGTTACATTCCTGAAACTCCAACTTGAACTGAAAGCATTTCCAGGGAATCAGATGTCTGATTAAAAAAAAAAATCAATACTAAAATCAGAATTTGGTTCCTTCAGACATTTTTGTCCAGGAATAAAGAATACTTTAAAAATTTGTTTTTTTTTTTTAGAAAGTGTACTCACCTGCATTCTTTGATTGACCAGACTCCATGTAGTCACAGGCAATAGTCAGTGTAGAAAGCTGCAGAGACCCTGCAGCGACCAATACCTGCTACCAGATGGAGAGCTCCAGTACAAGTTTGGAACCATAGCCAGGAGAAGGAAATGGCTTCAATGGCAAAGGGAGCAGCCGAAAGTAAGGACAGAGGGAGGCGAGGTCAGGCAGGGGAAGCAAGTTGGGAAGCTAGGGTGAAGAGACGCAATGCAAAAGGAAAGGGAAGGGAAGCAAAGCAAAGCAAAGTTGGGAGAAAGCAAGCAGGGGCAAACAGAAAACAATTCTGAGAGGTGGGTACTGGGGGAGCAACCAAGTTAAACAGGCATTATAAAAGTAACATGATGAAGCAAGCCTTAAAAACTAAAGAACAAATTAAAAAAAAAAAAAAGTGTGTCAACTGGGGGACCTTGCATAAAGGACTCATTGTACATGCTTGAAGAAAGGAGCTAGAATTTCAGAGCATTGAAGAATTTTTTTTGACTGAGGTTAGTGCCATATATGTCAATTACACATTCCAGGAAATTAATTCAATCTATTTTTCTTGTACCTCCTTATTTAATTGGTAATTTACTTCAATCTACATATTAAGTCTTACTTAATGTTTATTTTGGTTAGATTGTTAAAATACAAAAGTGATAAAAAAAAGAGACCTAGTCTACTGGTTTTCCCGTTGGAATCACTCAGTAAATTTGATTATTGCGATTTATTTTGTCTCCACTGGATCATAAAGGTAGGTCGCCATAGTCCTAGAAGACCACTGGGCTGCTCTCTTATTAGACAGAGAGAGCGCGATGGCTATGGTGTGACACAGTTTGCATTGAGCTGCCAATGTGGTACTTGCACAATGTACTGAGGTTGCACGCTAAGAGATTGCAAGACTGAATTAGAACTCCACTTAATGATGAATGAAAACCAAACCTTACAATTATATGTGTATTATATTTATAGTTATTTGCACAATGCAACGAACAACAATTTCTCTACATTCTATAATCTGCTTTGCTCCCAAAAAACAAACACAAAGATCCATACATTTAAAAATGCTGAATGCTGATAACTTGGTAACCTTTTACTGTAAAACCTGCTAAATCATATTAATCAACATAACAAGTGACAGAACAACAATACAGGTCTGTTTTACATAGTAAATCAAAATGTATTACTTGCTCAATGCACACAACTTCATACTTCATTTTATTAAACGGTATTTTGACTTTGAATAGACACAGTAATTCTCTTAAATGTGAAGTCACATTGCAAGTTATGTGATAATCCAAATATTTAAACATTATCTTCCAATTGAGCTATCTGTGCTTTTTACATGGTTAGTTCAAAATTTTGGACAAAGCGATTTTGAACAATTTTGATTATACTATGTCAATTACATAATTTAGCCAATGATTTCCAAGTAACCAAGTACCTTACTCTGCACCTTTAGAAGAACTGAAAATCAGAACAACGTTCACAAGTGAAGTCAAATTGAAAATCTGATAAGTCAACAAACTCAATTTATTCAGTGTTATGGTACCCCCGTCTGTGTCACTAAACTTGGTGAATTTAAATGCAAAGCTTATCATTTTTTTTTCTGATCACTCGCTGATTAAAGATCCCTTTAAGATGCATCGCAGCAAAGCCAACAGTGGGATTATCACCACTTCTGTTTTACAATATACTGACTCATAATAATGAACGCTGCAGAACCAGGTTATTATAGGATATGACTACACAATTAATCCCACCCAGTTCAATTTTAGCTCCAGGCTGCAACTTGTGTCAAGGAAGCAAAAATACAATGTTTTACTCAAATGACAACAAAAAAATCACTTTGCCAGCATTCTGTACTCATGGAAGCACCAAGGAAATTTACTAAATTACTTATGCCAGCAGAAGGAATGTAATTGAGTGTTAAATAATCAGCAGTGAGGATACATCCAACCCAAAGATCAGTAGATTAACATTATCAAACTTTCTGCTGGAGTTTATTTTGATCCAAATTCAGTCATAGTTTCTTTTAAATTTAAAAATTCAAAAGATAGATATCTATTACAAACTCTTGATAAATAAAAAGCTTAAATTCCAAAGGGAAATAAAAACGTAATGGCCATGGAAGAAGGAAACAGTATCTTATCTCACTAGCATGAAAGAAATGTTTGCTAAAGTTCACTGTAATCTACAGAACCAGGATTTTCAAAAACCTAAGCATGTGCCAATGACATACAAAAGCAAAAGTTTGGTTAACACAGCATTTCAAAGAGTGCACCTAAGAGGTCAATATGCACAAGGGAGCAGCATTGAGTTAATCTAAATATAAGTTGGTTTGAAGTTCACCCAAGGAACATTGAGCATATTTTAGCAACCAAGACAGCTAGTTGCCCCAATAATGAAAACTATACTTGGATCACAAATCAAAGGGAAAACTGAAAAAAGTTAAAGGAAAAAATGGGAGGAAAATATTCCACATAAACATTGTCCAAACATGGAAGCTTTCAGATATTTATGTCTTTCCAAGATTGTGGAGAAGTCAGTTAGTTAACTATTGAGATTTTCAAGGGACACAAAAGGAAACTGGATTTTCACATCATTAGCAATGAAAAGAAATGCCTCATGTTTAAGAAAATTACCTCGTTTTTTTTAATAACTGTAGAGGAAAATATATATTGATGGAGTTAACAAAACAAACATGATTACCAAATCATTCCCACTTCTCTCTAATGCTTCTACTCAAATCAAATACATAAAATCATAAGTAGAATTGTATGTCTAAATATTATATCACATGCTTTGGTTCAGAGACACTAAGCAAATTCTGATCTTATAAACTGCAAATGTCAGTTTGTGTGGTTTTAACCTTAACGTCAGTATATGTTTTAATTTGGTATTAATGTTCAAATTTCACAACTATGAATGGAAATTTATTTGTACAATTTATTCGATCTGACTGCTCTGATTTCCCAAGTACCAAATCCAAAGTTTTGTTATCATGTTTATGCCTTTCAGCTAAGTACTGATCACCTTGTAAAGTGTCATAGCGCATTGCTTGCCTGGTTAGATACCCAAACTGAAAGAAAGCCTCGATCTTTTTTTACTTCTAAGCTTTTCATTTTAACTAAAACTTCAGCACATCTCGCTTCCATACTGCTTCATTTCAATAACCAAAGCCTCAGAAGGCACTTTCAGCTAAAGGAAACTCATTTTTAAATTGCAAGAATTTTTAAAAGGAAGTCAAACCCTTAATATTGAACTTATCATGACCTGGAAATACCCTTGACTGTACAGCATCAGCGTAAAATGCACAAACAGCTTAGATTTTCTTTTCTTCCACAAACACAGTCACGAGCCATTACAAAGAGTGACCATTCTAACAGCAGCCATATACAAGGGCATGCAATCTTTTGGAAACAAGAAGCTAACAATTTGCCTCTGCAAGAACAGGTTTAATAACAAAGATATGATAATGGTACTTCAAAAGTGTTTGCTTGACAAAGGCAAATGGTTAATCTGACAAACTGCGTGGCAATAAACAAAATATTCCTGTCCTGTGATTCACAAGTCACCACAGGTAAGGAATGCTAGGCAGCATTTTAAACAGCAGCATCAGTTTTGAATTGAGGAGATAGCCAGCCGAGAAGAGATCAAAAGTGATACTAACGAGCAGCTAAAGCAGCAGGTTCAACTGAATCAAAAAGTTAATTCCAAATTTCAGGTAGCAGTTGATCGTGTTACAGAAGGGCAGAATTACATTTGTCTGACTACAATAGCTTTCAGCCTGCATGCTGTCTTAGTTTTTGGATTGTTGTCGTGTACTTTTTGCTGCTGTCCATCATCAGGGAAATGCTGTTATATATCATTTCCTTTGGCAAATCCTGTACATCAGTTACAGCATTAGTATTTTAAGCAAAGTTTGAAGGAGCACAATGCCCAAAATCAAAAAATTCCCAGCAATGCTTTAATACTTCAAAAGTATCTCAATTTATGAATTGTTAATATTGCTAATTTTTAGAATAACCAGAATAAATGTTTACTGAAAAAAAAATCAAAATTCAGTGTTCAAACATAGCTAGTTAAATACCTAAACAGATACTTCTGAACATAAAAAAAGGATGAAATTCAGTTAATTACGTCATACTCGGGTGCCTTGCATGTCCACCCATATTTTGGATTCTTTAGAGAAGAAGTAAATCAAGCGTTTACTGTGTCATATGCCTCAGGAGATGGTTTATCTAGGTACACAACTCCACAAAAATAAATGATAGAAAAATAAAATTAGTAAATCAAAGTGAAACCTCACGCATGGTATAAATGCTCTAGCTGACAACATTTTTTGTTATTATTTAACACATGTTTCTGCCCTCAAATACTAAAAACAAATGTAAGATGTTTCTTTTGGCTCCAACAATTATACTTGTCTACATTCAGAGAAATGTCTTGAACTGAAGCTCTGCTTGTTTCAAAAATATTTGTTTTAAGATTGTAAGCAATCTTCTGATAGTATTCATTTTTGTTTTCAGATAGTGATAAACTCTAGACAACATTACATTCATAAATTTCGTGTTACTCATTTCAACCTGAAATTATTTTGCAGGTTTAAACAATAAGCTCAATCGTACATAATAAGCAGATACAGTCAATGGTAAGAAAATTGCTTGTGATAAACTCCCATTCAATTTTCTCAATACTGGTAAGCCAAAACAAGTCATTATGAAATATTCATCTCTTCTATTAACTTTTTAAAATTGCTAACATTAATAACCAAGTGTAATTACATACGGAATATGTCAAAGAGTGAACAACTGAAATTGGCTGACAAAGGCCACACCCTGAACAAAACATATCAACCAAGATTTAAAAGTCGCATGGATTACCCTAAGGCAGTAGATACAGGAGGCACTAATAGTTTATAGCAATAAAAGCATCACGTTCCACATTAGAGCATTTTGTGTGATTTGTGCCAGATTCTCATAAACAATTTACCCACAGGAGAAGGCATTTTAATACCACATTAGGAAGCACAGCTTTAAGCAATGAAGGAAATATTTAAGCAGCAATCATGGATTATAGCTTAGCCAAAGCCAAAAGCAGATCATTCCAAGCTGATCACATCTGACTGTCTGAGGAATGGTATTTACTGTGCTATCTTAAAATAGTTATTTTATTCAAAAAGAAACTTACAGATTTGGCAGTTGCAGAGATGTAGTGAACCACCATTTCTCTCTTTGTCATTAGATCCTTTCCTCGGAGTGGAACTTTACGATCCTCATTCAGATTCATGTCTTCCTGTGGTCAAACAATTGATGGAAGATATTAATTCAGTAATTAATGTTCGATAAATATAACTGTTAGCTTTAAAAAGCTTGGATCATTCTCAATGCAAGGGTAAGTGTTTCTTAGAAAACAAATCATCGAAAAATTATAACTGTACATTTAACCATGGAAATGGGTTATTGAACAGTCTCAGAGTCCAAAAAAGATTGACTGAATCAAATGTATGGCAAACCTGTCATTGCAAGAGCAACCATTCTTCTTGGTTCAACATTTGCATTTCAGCTTTAAGAATAAGGCATCTGAGACTTTCACACAGTTTGACACGTCAACCGCAACCAAAAGAATAGGAAATAATGGATTTGCTACTTCAAATTGAAATACCACAGCCTGAAGGCATCTTTTAGAGAACTGTCATTGAAACCATAAATGTTGGATTTCACTGCTTCTTGTGGTTACGCCTCAAAGGTTTATGAACAGACTATCAGATAGTATGCATTATCTAAGCAATCCTACTGGAAAGCCAGGAGATATTTTCACCACAACTAATTTCTTTAATTTGAGCTTCTCAATGCTATTCTATTTTTAAAAAGACTCCAATAATCTGTATTTGTAACAAATAAAACAGTAACCAAAACCGAAGTGATTCATGTAAGATATTAGGGCAGACGCCCAACAGTTTGATTAAAGACAGCTTTTAAGGTGATCCTAAAGGGAACGGAGAGGTGTACAGTGAAAATTCTACAGCTTAGGGCCCAGGTAATGAAAGGGATCAACAACGAAGGTGGAGCAATTAAAATTAGGGAAGCTCAAAACTACAGAATTGAAGAAGTGTAAATATGTCAGAGGGTTGTTCACTATGGAAGATGAGACACAAATGCAGCAAGAACATTTTCATCATACTTGAAAGGATGACTGAGACCAGAGACCTGCGCCATGGGAAACCCAGACAGAAATTATTTTAAATAATGTATATAAATATTTAAATAGTGGCCAATATCTCAATAAAATGTAAAAATCAGTGCTCTACTTTACTACATCTGGTCAGTCAGATGACCCCAAACTCACTGAGTTAAACTTGAACTGCCCGGGAAAAGAAATACACCTCTAACAACTTCAATAGAAGGCAGCACGGTGGCTCAGTGGTTAGCACTGCTGCCTCATGGCGCCAGGGACCCGGGTTTGATTCCACCTTCGGGCGACTGTCTGTGCAAAGTTTGCACATTCTCTCTGCGTCTGCATGGGTTTCCTCCTGGTGCTCCGGTTTCCTCCCACAGTCCAAAGATGTGCAGGCTAGGTGAATTGGCCATGCTAAATTGCTCATAGTGTTCAGGGATGTGTAGATTAGGTAGGTTATGAGGGATGGATCTGGGTGGGATGCTCTGAGGGTCAGTGTGGACTTGTTGGGCTGAAGGGCCTGTTTCTACACTGTAGGGATTCCAAAAAAAAACTATGCAATCCCACCCTATCTGCCCACAACCCTTCCTAACTCTCTGCTGCCTGGCAAACGGAAATTGATTTTCAAACCCATCAGTCCAAGGAAAAGAAATTTAAATTCTTTAAAACACATTTGTTGTTAATTTTATGGGTAGTCTGTGTTAACAGAACTATTTGCATTTTAAATTTATATTTTAAATAAAATAATACTGCACTGATGTAACAAGAATTTCTCAATACTTCAGGATTACTAGCGGTTGTCAGTTTATGCAGCATTCATTTCAGGTTAAGTCAAGCAGAGAAAGTTGAAAGGGGAACATGACAGCAGTATATTAGATTATGAGGGCATGGACAGGTGAATAGGAAACAGCTGCTTCTTTTAGTCGAACAGCAAATAACAAGGGGGCATAACTTTAAAGTGAAAAACAGGAGGCTTAACGGGGATTTAAGGAAAATCTCTTTCACCTAGAATGTGGTGGGGGTCTAGAATGCACTGGGAGAGTAGTTGAGGCAGGAAACCTTACAACCTTTATGAACACTTGAACGGGCACTTGAGTGTCATAACATTCAAGGCTGTGTTCCTGGTGCAGAAAAGTGTGACTTGTGTAGATAGTAATATATTCTTGGTGATATCAACTCAATGGGCTGAAGGGCATCTACTGTTCTGTACTATTCCAGAGTCCCCACAAAAGGAGCTTCCTCATCTTGTCAAGCCTCCTCATAAGTATATTTATTTCCTCAAGATTATCCCTCATGCTTCTAAACCCTCAATGAATAAATGCTCACTTCGGCCAATCTTTCCTCATAAGACAATTGCTTCATTGCAAGAATCAGCTGAACGAACCTTAATCCGAACTGCTTCCAATCTTAAGATGATCAAAACTGTATATAATATTCCAGGTGCTGTCTCAACAATGCTCTGTATAGATGCAGTGAGACCTCCCCACTTGCACTACACAACAATATTCCATTTGCCTTCTTATTTGATTGATATACCTGCATGCTAACCTTTTGTGATTCAAAAACATGGGCCCCACCGACCTTTCTGCATTTCTTGCAGGTTCTCTTCCATTTAAATAATATCTGCTTTTCTTCTGAAAAAGTGAACCTCACATTTTTCCACACTATATCCCATCTGCCAATTCTTGTCCAACACCAATTATTTGGCTTTGCCAAGTTTGTACCACCCTCAGTTTGCTTCCCTACCTATTCATCAGCAGCAAACGTCATTACAGCACAAATGGCCTTTTCAAAGTCGTTAGCATTTCACAAATAATTGAGGCCTGTGGAACTCCACTCGTTAGTTTTCCGACCTGAAAATTTCTGATTTATCCCTACTTTGTTTCCTGTTTATTAGCTATTTCTGTGTCCATGATAATACATCATCCCCACCACTTTGAGCTCTTTTCTGGTGTAGAAACCTTTTAAGTAGCACCTTATTGAATGTCTTTTAGAGATTGAAATACACTACATGTACTGTTCCCTTTATACCTTGTGCTTGTTACATCTTCAAGGAACTTTGTCTAACACTATTTTCCCTGCAGAAAACAGTGATGATTTTATGATTGTCCAAATATCCCACTATTACCTATATAACGACGAGTTCAAGCATTTTCCCATTGACAGAAGTTAGACTAACTGGCTCAGAGTTTCCTGCTTTATTTTTCCCTCCTTTCTTCAATAATGGTGCCGCATTCACTGTTTTCCAATCTGTGGGGCCTTTCCAGAATGTGGGGAATGTGAAAGATTACAACCAATACATCAACTACCTCTGCAGCCACATCTTTTAAGAACCGAAGATGTAGACCATCAGGTCCAGAAGTCTTGTCAGTCTTCAGCTTTCGTTACAGGAAAAATGCTAAGAATGCAGTGTTCATGATTGTTTGAAGTTCCCTTTTTTGCCTCTTCTTTTTCTACAATACTTGGGTTGCTAGGTCTTCAACTTTCAACACAAGTATTTATCATACAAAGTACTTGTTCAAAGTCTCCCATGTCTTTGCTTCTCATTAATTTCCAAGTGTCATTCTCTAAGGGATCAACACTTATTTTAATGCGACATAAACTGTCTAATTTAGCTATGTACATTTACTACCATTTATTTTGAATTTGAGAAAATCAAGGCTAGTTTTTCCCTTGAATAGCATGCTTTGAACAAAGAAAGTTGACAAACTGAAGGCTGTTTTGAAAGCTAAGTCATTTGATGATAAATCAACAACAAAAGCTAAGCACTGAAGCATCATTTCACATTCTGAAACTTCTTGCAAAATGCAAGAAATCATTCACATATGACAAAGTAATTAAAGAAAGGGCCACTGACTCTTCATTCAAAGACTTTAAGAAGAAAGAAGTAATAACTGCAAACAAGACCATGTCACTTAGCAGCAAGACGAGTGGAAAATTTGTCTGAAGACATCTTTCGGCAACTAAAGCATGACCTGAAGGACTGAATAGTTTTCACTGCAGTATGTTGAGACATAGCCCAGCTGATTGTTATGTCCTTAAAAAACATGTGCACACAAACAACTAAAGAAAACCTTCTCACTCTTTGCCCCTTAGAGTACAAATAGTAAGGATACAACAAATCCAAAAGTAAAGGTTTGAGAAAAATAATCCAATTCGGAAACTGGTTTCCATCATAACTAATGGTACACCAGCTATGCTTGGTGCAAATGCAGGCTTTTAGTGCATTTTGGACAAATGATCATGATTTCTCTTTCATCAAAAATATTGCATAATCCAGCAGCACTAAGAAGTAAAGTCATGGAGTGTTCTCACATAATGTAAGGTAAGATTTAAACTTAATTCAAGCAGGAAGCCTTCAGCACTTCTTTAAATCCTTACTGGACAAACTCGATGCTGCCTACACTGTACTAATCCTCCGTACTGATGCGAGATAGTTAAATCAAGGGAAGGTCCTGTAAAGGTTTTTAGATCCGATGCCTCAAATTGTCATTTTCTTAAACAGAGAAAGGAAATGTGCAGTGAGCTGTCAATGCATGGTTGTTCAACTTTGGGTTCGTAACAGGCATAACATCAAAACTTAACTGTATAGTACAGGGAAACAGCAGAGACTTTGTAGATACGATCAACGCTGTGAATGCGTTCAAACTGAAGCTGGGTCTGCAGGTCTCCCAATGAAAAACTAAAATGCTAACACTCTCCGAGTCTGGAAAACTTACTAGAAAAAAAAAATCAATAAGAAAGGTTTCACCCAGAAAACATCTGCGCACACCTGAAGATATTAATGTAAGTATTCAATTATTCAAAAATTACATGTGATGTAACAAATTTTCACGTGTGTCTCAAATTCATTCCTTCAAGTTTACACATTGGTGGATTGGCTACCAAATTCCATTGTTTGATTCAAAAAGCAATGGAGCTAAAATTGAGATAATTACTGCAAAATGAGATTGAGCTGAAAGTCAGATCAAAGGAAAACAATTTTGGGACCTACAAACAAAGAAAAATGCCTGTCATCTTGTGCTTTCAAAGTGAAAAATTACTTTGATTCCAGGTATTTCTGCAAGTCAGTGTTCACACAAATAAAGTCCAACTGTCGCACCCCTTTCACACTTACA